TAACAAGTTCAAGTTAGGGTTTCGAGTTACAACATCACCATCCCAACTCATAAGCCACTTACCATATTAAGTTTGAACCCCAAGCCACACGATGGATGAAGTAAATTGTGAGTTGTATATCAATTGACCTATATACTTTCAAATATTTGTACACTAATGTCCACAAGTTAACACAACATGGTAATTCAAGTAGCAAATGAGCTCTTTTTGTGGGGAAGAATTTCGGGATAATTCCGGTTCGATTTTCACAAGTGACGATTTCCCCTTGACCATCTCCCGTGTCTCTCGGAGCGAGCAAAAATTAGTCGGGTGGACCCGAATTGTAAGACAGACAGAGAAAGACCTGGAACATCTTGTAATTTATACAAAAAAAAATAAATAAATCAAATCTTTCAAACTCTACACCTTGCGACTGCTAATAAAACAGTGAATTTATTTTGCTTTGATTAATCGTTTGAAATGTTTCTTTATATTTTCTTCTTTATTTTAGGTTTCTCAATTTAAAAAATATGTTTAATAATACCTTTAAAAACTTTTTTTTTTTTTTCATAATGTTCACAAATTATGAACATTTGACCAAATAGTTAATGCACAATGACATCTGGTATTATCACTGTTGACCAATATTTAAAAGTATATGTTTTATTAAAATAAAAAATTCTATATCATACAAAATACACAAATATTGATTTTATGATATATAAAATTAAGTTTTTTTTTAAAAAACAAAACAAAACAAAAAAAAAAAAAACCAAAAAAAGTGAAGATAAGAAAATGTAAGAGGTGAAAGCATTGAGTAGGAATGGCCATAACATTAACGAGACGACCCCAGAAGTCCAGAACAAGTCCATTCTTTCCATCAACACATCATTTTCTGCTCTCCAATTAAATACATTAAATACCCACACAAGATTTTTGTGTTGTATATGTATCTATACATATACGTATATACACATTTAATAATTAAATAACGTGTATTTGTTGGGAGTCGGTAGGGAGGCTCCTTCAAAGCTGATATTTTCTTCTTGGTCATTCTGGACACGAAGAACACAAGGCCGCAAACACAAAACCAGTATCGGTGGGAAAAGGGAAAAACGGAAATAATTATTAGCTTTAAAAAAAAATCCTTTGGAGCTGATCAATCATCGCAATTCACAGGTAAATTCTGAAATTCTTGACATTCAATTTAAGTGGTTTAATTTTCATGTTGAATTTCTTCATTTTGTTTAAATTCGAGTCATCTTCCATTTTGTGGGGATTAATAATCGGCTGAAAAGTTTAGATTTTTGGGAAGAGCTTCAATTTTGGTGTTTTGTATGTGTGGTTAATTATGGGGATTAATTATCCGCCGAAAAGGTTTGATTTTTATGAAGAATTTGTGTTTGTGTTTTATTTTCATTTTAATTGGATTTCCATATAGCCTTGTGCTCGAAGCTTGGAAGATTCGGGAATTTTGATTTCCATGGCTTCTTGTCCCCATGTTTATTCTTGACATTGCTTTGCTATAAATAACACGGAGTAATTAATAATTCATTTACTTCAACTAATTTGAGCTAGGATATTGTGTTTTTTGTCTTAATTAAGATTTGTAATTGTTAATGGGGATATGGTTTTAATCTCAGCTAGTTTTCCCATGTTTTGTTCATTTGTTGACCACAATCTACCGCCCAGGAACCAACTGAGCTACCCCTGCAATCATGGTTTTGTTTTCCTTTTCGCGGGGGTGGGGCAGGGAGAGAGGTGAGGGGTGCATCCTTGATGGAACCAGAAGCCTAATTTGATTCCTGTTTTGAACTGGGTTGATGTTCTAAACTTGATATGTAGATTAAACAAAGGGATTGCTTTTAAGTGGAGATTATGTTATTCTCATCTATAGATGAAATATTCTTTTCTTTAAGTAGAGAAATAGTGGCATGCTGAGTAAAATTGATTGTTTGATAGGATAAAGAATTTATGGGTGTAGTTAAAAAAATGCCCTTTTCATGTTCTGGTTTTGCAATGTGCATTTTCAATAGAAGCTTTAAATTCTGTAATTTTAAAAAATTATTTCTTTTTGCACGTCAGTTGGCTTTTTGAATCTTCAATAACAATCTTTCTTATGCATCGATGATCTGCATGTAGAGGAGAATAACAGCTGCTCGTGTGTTTATTCCAGGTAAGTGTTCTTTCAAGCTGGAGATTATTTGCATACTTTGTTAGTATTGGTTGCTAGTATTGTGTCAGACGGCCCTCTAAATCATTGGGTAAAAGCGATTGTGATTATATACTTGGCATCTATATAGATTGCCACAATTGCTTTGAGGTTTGTTGGATTTGAATGGCTGTTACCTCTGAAGAACCAACTGGAGAAAGCCCGACTGATACATCCCCTTTGCTCATGGAGCAAACAGAAAATTGTCAAAGCAATGAGCACGTTATTAATATAGAACAAGGTGGTGATCCTTCATCTTCAGACTCGTCTGATTCTGAATCTCCTCATGGCTTGAGTTCATCTCGGCACGATGATAGACCATCTACAAGAAATTCGCCATCTACTTCATCAAACGGATCAAATTCTCAAAGTCCTTCAGTCACAAGGAGAGGGGAAGGATTAGGTCGTCATTGGAGCCCATTCAATACCGTGCTCTGGATTTCCATTGAGCTAGTATTCACTTTAGGGCAAATTATTGCAGCTGTCGTTGTTTTATCTGTATCAAGAAATGAAAACCCGCAAACTCCATTATTTGCTTGGATTTTGGGTTATGCACTTGGATGTGCTGCAAGTCTTCCTCTCCTATTTTGGCGCTATCTTCATCGCAATCAGGTCGCTGAGAGGAGGTCAGCTCAATTTCGACAAGGTTCACGTCGAGTTAATTCATCCTCGGATCCTAATTCTTACATAACCTTCTCCTTAACCCGGTCCTCAGAGGAAGAAGGTCGCCATAATACATCCGCAGATAATTGGAATGTGCAAAACAACGAAGCTCGAAATGCAAGGTAACTATCGTCTGAACTCTGAATTCAATACATGCACCTTCACGATATTTTTCAAATTTGTATTGACCTCCCAGAATTTTTTCTTACCAGGATTCTTGTGTGTGTGGACCATTTCAAAATGGCCTTGGATTGCTTCTTTGCAGTTTGGTTTGTTGTGGGCAATGTTTGGGTATTTGGAGGGCATTCTTCCTCTTCGGATGCTCCCAATTTGTATAGGTACTGTTATGCTCCTACGAATTCTTTCTTTTTGTTATCCCGGTCCTCTGCCATGCTCGCAATGCTAACCCGCTTTTACTCGATTTTTTCAGGTTATGTATAGTTTTCCTTAGCTTTAGTTGTATCGGGTATGCTATGCCTTTCATCTTATGTGCAATGATATGCTGCTGTCTTCCATGTATCATATCGTTCCTTGGCGTTCGTGAAGATATGAATGGAATGAGAGGAGCAACTGAAGAATCTATTAACGCTCTTCCTACACATAAGTTCAAGCTAATGAGAACTTTAAGCGAGATAAGTGGGGAGAGTGGGTCAGAAGTAGAAGGTGGTGTTTTAGCAGCAGGAACGGATAAGGAACGGGCCATATCGGGAGAAGATGCTGTAAGTTTGCAACTTGTAACTCACTTCATTTTTCTAAGTAATGATTTCTTAAGAAATCAACAGAATTACAGTCTAGAGGAAAGGCCAGTGTTCCCGTTGGTCCACCCTGTTATATGAGTCCGTGTGGACAGATCTGAGCCATTGAATACTTGAGATCAATGGCTTAGATTTAGCCAACTGTGCAACTGTGCACTTCACTTGCACAGTTCGCGTCGCACAGTTGGCGAAATCTAAGCCATTGATCTCAAGCATTCAATGGCCCAGATCTGTCCACACGGACTCAGATAACAAGATGGACTCATTTGATCACTAGTCCTAGAGGAAATATAGGAGTAGAATGACTAAATTTTCATTGACATACCCGTCTTGCCTTGTACAGCCGCCATTTTTACTGGGATTTTCCTATATGAAAATGTTATCAGCTTAGCTCAAGGGACTTGCATCCTAGGGTGTCCCTTTTTCCCTTTCCCCTAACGGTTTTCGTCTCTACAAATGTTCTTGGGAAAGAGCGTTTTACTGAATTCTCGACTTCCAGTCAGATGTTTATCCAGTATTTTCATCATTTGCTGATAAGACGTCATATTCAACTGATGCATACTGAACTGTTACAGGTTTGTTGCATATGTCTATCCAACTACGAGGACGATGACGAGGTGAGGGAGTTGCCCTGCTCGCATTTCTTCCACACAGCGTGCGTAGATAAGTGGTTGAAACTAAATGCGTCCTGCCCCCTTTGCAAACTCGAGATCGGAGCTGAAAACGAACATTCTCCATTGGCCCCTGAAGCCACTCAAGCCAGTCAACAAGTGTGAAGGGCCTAACGGTATGACAAAACTGACGCCCCAACAAGTGGGAAAGTGAAGCTGGCTTGCGGTGAGTGATAAGCCAACAACGACACGCTTCCTATTTGATTACTGCTGCTCCAGTTCTTGGCAGCGAAACCCAACATGTACAGTTTTAAGCTGAAACCAAGGTAGAGAGGCTTATGAGCAAAGTATTATTCAGTTAGAGATGTTAAAACCAGATATCAGGCTTGAAAGAAACAAAATGTTTGCACGCGATCTGAGTTCACCATCATCCATAAGTTCGATAACCCTGTACATACTTTTGTTTTTTTTGTTTTTTTTTTTCTTTGTTTTTTGTTTTTGGTTATAATTGAGATCAATGTTCTCTGTTTTGATGGCTTACTTTCATGGATCCACTGCATACCCTCTTCTGCATTCTGAGATTATCAATGAATTATTCAAGAAATTTTAGTTTTCAATTGTTTTGAGCTGAGCAAAAGATTTTTGTGAAACCAAAATGAAGATGCAGAAAAACTCTAGTCACTGATTGCTGGAGAGGTGCCATTGGTTTGATAGTTTCAAGAACAGTGATGATGACAGAAACCAGAAACTTGTAGGAAAGACAATACTATGGTCTGTTTGTTTTTTTTTTTTCTTGTTTTGTTTTTGTTGGAAATAGAAAATTTAAGAATCTAGTTCATTGTAATTTCTCAGCAATTAAAGGAACTCATTTTGTTTCTTGTTAGCTATGTATTCAATGGTAGACACCTTTGCAAAAACATATTAGGTCATGAAAAATTCTTATCTGTAGAATCAAACATTTATCACTAGACACTACTGTGTAGTTGTTGGCGTCAAATGCTTATCATTATTATGTAGCTGTTAGTGCCACGTGTTGAATGCAGGTCGATGGCAAGATATTGTTACAGCTGCCCCAGATTCTGACTTTTCTAAGAATGTCAAAATATTTATGAAAAAAAAAAAAAGGAATTGTTAAGAATGAGTCAACAGAAAGCTACAGCAATAGTTATCAACAGAAATTTTGTATAGTTCAACCACTGGATGTAAAATATGTACTATGACTTTCAGCCCAGAAGACTATTCTGAAAAATGGAAAGTTTAAATAATGAAATATGAACCTGCAGGCTGCAGACATTTCATTTTGGTTCCTTCTAGATTTGAATTTTGAGGCACCAGATAAAGAAACAGCTGATGTACCATGATGTTCAGCAAGAGAAATATGTGTTCCTGGAAAAATGTTTTTCTCATACTGTTTTGTTATTGCTTTGGTTTTTGCAGTTCAAGAGATACCATTACAATCAATCAAACCTTGCAAGGATCAGAAACTATACTCTCAGAGGGCAACAGGTTCAAGATGGGATTTTTCAGCCCTGGAAATACTTCCAAGTATTATGTAGGAATCATGTATAACAACCCATCAAATGCTGTTGTATGGGTTGCTAACAGAGACAAGCCTATGAATGACTCCAGAGGAACGATCGCAATCTCAGAAGATGGAAATCTTGTGGTGTTGGATGGACAGAATACAATATGGTCTTCAGATGTTTCCGACTCTTCTCTGTCGAATACTACTACTGCTCAACTCATGGATACTGGGAATTTGGTGTTGAAAGACGGGTCAACTGGAAGAAAATTATGGGAAAGTTTTAGCAATCCTTCGGATTCTCTTCTTCGAACAATGAAACTTGGCACTAAAGCGTTGAGATCATGGAGAAGTCCCTTAGAACCATTCCCGGGGAGTTTTTCATTTGGTATTCAACTTCTGAACATTCCACAGGTTGTCATATGGAACAACACCGAGCTTTACTGGAGATCTGGTCCATGGAATAAGCAGATATTCATTGGAGTATCTGAAATGGATTCCTACTATAACAATGGATTTGATTTCACCACTGATAGTGATGGCAACGCAAGCCTATCATTTGACTACTTAGATCATCAGTCTGAAAGTTTATACATCCATATTAGTTCAAATGGTTCTCTCTTGCAGACATTTTGGGATCAAGGGAAGGAACAGTGGGAGGTGACATGGGAAAGTCACGCAAGCGAGTGTGATGAGTATGGAAAGTGCGGGTCTTTTGGAATCTGCAATCCCGGTGGGTTACAGGTCTGTTCTTGTTTGCGAGGATATAAACCAAAACGGGAAGTTGAATGGGGTAACGGGAACTGGAGCAGTGGCTGCATTAGAAACGAAGATCTTCAGTGTGACAGAAACAACTCGGATGTGAATAAGAGCAAGCAAGACAGGTTTTTCAAGTTGCAGATGGTGAAAGTGCCAGATTTTGCCACTTGGGTGCCTTCGAGTCAAGACACTTGCGAAAGTGACTGCTCGAGAAATTGTTCCTGCCTCGCTTATTCATTCTATCCCGGGATTGGGTGTATGCACTGGACACGAAGTTTAATCGACCTGCAGCAGTTTTCTATGGGCGGAGCAGATGTATATATTCGTCTGGCATATTCAGAACTCGGTATAGTTTCTCTTTACAAATACCAGTCGATTTGCTGATACTTTTATGTTCTGATGGGTAAGAATCTTCGATTTTCAGACTTGAAGAAAGAAAGCAAACACAACAAGAAAGCCATTATCGCAACTACAGTGACTATAGGCTTACTTGCCATTGCTATTTCTGCATACTTTTGTTGGGGTTGTTTGGCTAAGCACAGAGGTAATCTACTGATTCGATTTGATGATCATATGAACGAACATTCATTCAAAGGCTTCTGTTCTTTTGAATCAGGAAAGAAGCAGAAGCAGAAGCGTGTTATATATTTAGGTAAAACATCTTCACCAAACATGTGTGGAGAAGACACAACCCGAGCTAAGCTCGAGGAGCTACCAGTATTTGACTTCGAGATCATAGCAAATGCAACTGGAAATTTTGATCCGCGCAACAAACTTGGACAGGGTGGTTTTGGTCCAGTCTACAAGGTAAACACGGCTTTTGTCTAGTGACTATGATGGAAGATTGTCTGTGCAGAATGAAATTAGATGGGACATGTTTTATGCAGGGGAAGTTGGAAGATGGACAGGAAATTGCGGTGAAAAGACTTTCGATATACTCTGGTCAAGGGCAAGAAGAATTTATGAACGAGGTCGTGGTGATTTCTAAACTCCAACACAGAAATCTCGTTAGACTTCATGGTTGCTGCATAGAGGGAGGGGAGAAGATGTTGGTCTATGAATTCATGCCAAATGGAAGCTTGGATTCTCTTCTCTTTGGTTGGCTAATAAACTGATAGTGATAATCGACTTTTTTTTTTTTTCTTTTTTCTTTTTCGAAGTCTCAATTAGAAGTGTTCATTCCTTTCAGATCCTCAGAACGAAGAGTTTCTTGATTGGAGCAAGCGCTTTATGATTATTGAAGGAATTGGTCGAGGCCTCCTTTATCTGCATAGAGATTCAAGATTGAAAATCGTTCACAGAGATCTCAAGGCAAGCAACATTCTACTAGACGAACAATTGAATCCCAAAATTTCAGATTTTGGCTTGGCGAGGATTTTTGGAGGTAACCAGCATCAAGCTAATACAGAAAGGGTTGTTGGCACATAGTAAGCATAAATTGTTTATTTTTCTTCGCCTGCTCACAGAGCTTGAGAGCTCCATTTATCTGAACGCGTTTTTTACTGAACTGTTTAATGCAGCGGCTATATGGCACCGGAATATGCAATGGACGGAAGATTTTCAGAAAAGTCAGATGTCTACAGTTTCGGAGTTCTATTACTAGAAATTGTTAGTGGAAGGAAGAATTCTGGATTTTACCATGATGAGTTTGCAATAAGCCTTCCAGCACATGTAAGTTCTTTCTAATCCATCTGGAAAAACCAATCTGGCCAGCACTTTGCCCCTTAATTGAGCCAGCCCAGTGCAAATGAGGATTAGTCTGAATATGGTACGGGCTTAAAGGTGCCACAGTTAGGACCTGCTCAGGACACCTCATGGTCTGACAAAAAAGTTCTTTCTAATCCATAGGGTTGTAAAGCCGGAACTTCCTGTTCCTATCAAAAGCCAACAACTACCCAGATTTAACGCGTTTTTTCTTGATTCAGGCATGGAAAATGTGGAACAAAGAGAGGACGGAAGAAGTGGTAGATCCTAGAATATATGATCGGCACTTCAAAACGAACATGAAACGATGTGTACATGTCGGGTTGTTGTGTGTTCAAGAATATCCAGAAGACAGGCCTAATGTTTCGACTGTTCTATCAATGCTTAGCAGTGAAATTGCAGAGCTTCCAGGGCCTAACCAACCTGCATTTACTGGAAGGCAGAGCCGCCCTGATACAGACTCTTCTAAGCAAAGCAATTTGTCTGTTAATAGTACCACTATTACTGTTATTGAAGGAAGGTAATTTTATAATTTTATTCATTTCTGTTAATAGTACTGCCACTTAATGATCAGGAAGAACAGTGAAGATTTATACAAATTCTTTTAAAGAGGAACAAACTTTTAGAATTTGGATGAAATGATGATGATGAACAACAGAGTAATGGAGAACACATTACTATGTAGCATTATATAATTTAAGAAAAAAAAGACAGGGATTAAGAATATGGTCTCCGGTACCTCAAAAGACAGGGATTAACATGATGCTGCATTTTCTACTGTTGTTCCTACATTCTGAATCACAAATCCATATATCTTCATCTTCAAGTTCTCAATCTTCTCCACCAACACTTGATCTTTCTTGGATATGAGATCCAACCAGCCGTTTACGCGCTTCAGCTGTGAAAGAATGGCTGCGATTGGGCCACCGGCTTGGGAGCATTTCTGGAACACCTGAAAGCCGACATTAAGTGACTCTTCGACGAACTTGAGGAACCATAGCTCCATCTCTGAGAGCAGCTTCTTTGCAAGCTCCAGAGTCTCATTCATTCCCTGGCCCCTTCTCCAGACAGAGGGAACAACCATACTGTGGTGGTTCTTGACAGATGGTTTGGAAGGTTTCTTGGATGGATTATTCTTGTCGAGTGTGGATGGAGGTTCGAAGTTCTGGTTTGTTAGGAGGGAGACGACTTCGAGATCAGTGGCCAGGGCGGCTTCAACCCAGAGCGAAGACGGCTTGGAATGATCAATGGAGATGTTTTCTTGAGGTTTTGAAGTGGTGATTGATTCAACAAGTGAGGTTGATTTCATGACATCTTCATAAACTGACAAGAAGCGGTCAATTGTAGGCAAAGGGTTTTCAGGCTTTGAACTTGAAGAGAGATCAGAAAACTTGCTGCAAAATTGAAGTTCCATTGTTAATGAAAAGCTCAAACATGGCGCTGCTATATGCATCAGAAAGCCATGGATAAAGTGGTTGGTTACCTCAAACCCCTTACAATGGACTCTGTGGCAAGAGCCTCCTCTAAAGCTTCAGCAGCAGCCATGGAAGCTGCAACTCTCCTTTGCATAGCCTCCTGCAACACCAATACCATGACATGCATCATTCAAACAGGAAATTTGCAGCTCTAACATGATGCAGTCTTTTTTTTTTTTTTTTTTTTTTTTTTTGGTGACTAAGAAACCCGCAGCTATTATCTGGGTAAAGGACCACAATCCTAGCTAGCAAAGGATCAACCGCCAATAGGCCGCTTTCACTAGGAGTCAAACTTTAAATCTTGTGGTTAGCTGATCCAGTTTCTTGCTTAAACCAAATTGTGTTAAATTCGTGTAATTATAGTCAATTTACTAGCTCAATATACTAAATTCTATACACAAAAATGTATTAGTTCTTTCTCACAAAATGTGAAATCCCTTGCCCAAGGGTCATCGACCTCGAGACTTACAAGATTTTGTAGGGGTAAATCACGGCAAAATGTATTAGGGCTTGTCCATACCTTTCCCAGTCTTGCAAGGTCAGAAGTGAGTGAATCCAGCGGAACACTGCCATCAGTCCATTTCTTCTCATGAACAGGGATGACCGGAGCCACGTTAGGCTTCTCCGGCGCCAGACAACTTTCAGTAGATTTCACTTTTTCATCATTTGTGCCGTCATCTTGACAAATACTTACATCGCTTAAACGCCTGGAGATGGCAGCCTGAAAAGCAACATAATAAGACCATTAAGGAAAGCATTAAAAAAGAATCACAATTATCTTGTTACTAATCTGAAATCTGAAATTCAATTTGTTACTGTTGTTGTTCTTAGTTCTTGGCTTCTTGCAGTGAATTTAAATTTGGAAAGTGAATAAAAAGAAGAGAAAAGTTTGAAACAAATTTCAATGGAAAAGTTTGAAAATTTTGTCTTTGGAGTAATAAAAAGGTTAAAAAGCAAAACTTTTACCTGGGTTCTTAGAATTGCTTGCAAATCAGGTTTGTTCTTGGTTGGGAGCTTCTCTTTGTGCTCCGACGATGATCCACCGGAGACTGCTGGCCCTTCATCCCAACTCTTTCTACTGGATTTACTGGACCCTACAATGGCTTCAGAAACCTTGGAAATTCCGGCGGCAATGGCTGTTATCTTCTTCTTCCCGGAGGAATCTTTAAGAGCACCGGACAACCTCCGGCCAGGCGAAAGCGACATCCTCCTAGAGACCACCGGACTCGCCTGCCGTCTCCCGGATGTCGGTGAGGGTTGCCGGTATCTTGACGGGACAATAATGGCCGGCTCTTTAGAATTCCGGCGATTCTCCTCCTTGGCTGCCACGAGACTGGGCACAACACACTTGGATGGCGCCGGTGAAGATGACCTCTTCACTTTCCCGGCCGGCGATGGATCTCTCTCCACCACCGCCACATTTTTCTTCCCCGCAGATATTGACCTCTGTTTCACGGATCCGGGAGACGAAAACCTCTGAGGAGCAGGAGGAGGAGGAGCCTTCTCCGATGAAACCCTATTCGAAACTTCCTCCAAATCCACATTCTCCTTCGCTGCAAACACTTTCCTAGCCCCAACTTTCTCCTCACTCTTCCCATTCCCCTTCGGCTCGTTCTCGCTCCTCCCGTTCCTCGACAAATACGCCGCAATCGGATCCGAATCCGACACGGGCTGAATAACAAACCCCCCGTTCTTCGAAGAAACGCGGGCGATCAAGGCCTCGGGGGATCCAATAAACGAGTGGCGACCGGCGATGGGGCGGACGTTGACGGCGCGTGGGACGGGAGGCGAGTCGAAGACGAAGCGGTCGACGTGGAGAAACTGGCCGAGTTGGAGACGGTTGGTGAGAATCAAATCGGTGTCGCGGTCGGAGAGGGAAACGTAGGTGGAATTCAGCGAGTCAGATAGCTGAACATAGAACCCGTTGTGGGCCCATAACGAATCGGAAGTGGAAAGCGCCGGCACGATTCCCACCACCTGGAGAAGCGGCGAACGGTGGTCGCCGGTCACTCTAACGTTGGTGTTCATCGACTGGAGAAGCTTCAGGAGGATACCTGGAGTAAGAGTAGCCATTTTTGCTACAGTGTAAGGTCAGGGGGTGGGGTGGGGTGGGGACTGACTACTGAGTACTATGAGTGTGAAGGAGGGAGTGAGAGAGATAAATGAAGACGACGAGAGTGAAAAATGGCCGTTAGTGGATTTCAAAAATGGGGAGCCCGCCCCTACTTTTATTATTATTTGTTAATAAATTTTTTGAATATTTGAAAATTTGTGTTCAGGTGGGGGACGCCAGGGCATAGTAACGGCTACGGCAAAGTAGGAGACTGGATTACATCCAACGTTTGTTAAATATTTATCATAAAAAAATCAAAATCTAAAAAAATAAAATCAAAATCTAAAAAAGAAAAAAGAAAATTAAAATCTTAAAAAAATAAAATAAAATAAAATAAAAAATTACGCCGGATTAGGCGCGGGAGTTGTGCCTCACGCGAGGCAAACTTCCTTGTCTTTTTTTTGGTGGAACCCACAAAGCTGACAAAAACCTTGATCCTTCAGCAAAGATCAGGATTCTTCTCTCTCCTTCACTTCAGCATGGACTCCTCAAAAACTACACCAAGAACCAGTGATAAGGATGCTCTTATATGCTAATATATGGTATTTTGTATATTAATTAATAATTAATGTTCACTCATAAATTTTGTGTGAACTTGTTATTTATTTAGAGTTTTATTTCGAATATTGAGAGAATTTAGTTTATTACATAGCTTGGGAAGGGATGTGGTTCATGTGATGCATGTTTCTGCTTTTATTGCACTATTATTGAGTTGTTGTGCAAATTATGCTGACTATATTTTTAGATGTTTATTTTAACTTGATGTATTGTTGGTATCATAGGGTTGTTTCCTCCTCAATGGCTTTAGGCCTCTTTGGATTTTATATTTGCTTCATTTACTTGGGCGTTAGCCAATGGCATTGACCACCATGTTCTTGTTAGGAAGGGGTTTGTCCCCCTTCAAGTTTTTTTTTTTTTTTTTTTTTTTTTTTTGATAACCCATACTTTTTTTTTTTCCAGACTATATCCGAGACCTTATAAACTCACCTCAAACCTATAAGAAGATACATTAAGTCAATTTAACTTCAAAACTCAATACCAAATTGTACACCTCTGTGCACAAAAAGTTCATCTAAAACTCAAACACGGACAAAGATCAAACTCCTCACCATGTCATTGAAAGCAAGCCTTAAGTGAAACATTTCATTCACTAAACTAATGCCTTATATCTCCTTCAAGTTTTTTATTCTCTTTTTGAAACTCTTTGTAATAAAATGACACTTTCCCACTATAAAAACAATTTAAAAAACAATTACAAAGTGAACAAAAAATCCCCTTTGAAGATCACATATCTCTACATATTTGCAACTCATATTTTAAAAATGCCTAATAATTGGCATAATTTATATTAGGACACAATGCACACGCAATATTTTGGAAAATTTTATTTAAAAATTACATTAGAGAATCAATATTTAAATGGGAGGTTTACAGCTTTACATCGTTTGTCTTTTTCTTTTGACAGTGCAGTAAGTACTTGAAATGAGGTTTCATTTAACAAATCATCAGAAGGGAAAGAATCCATGTGCATCATCAGAGCTGGTGTCACTGTTTCTTTAACAAATCATCTTTCGTGGTGTGTACATTTTAATTACAGATAATAAAGAAAAAAAGGGAAAAATATTTCTTTTCATCCCAATTTACAGAAAGATTTAGGCTACAAAGAATAGGAAGATCATGAGGAATACAATCAATACCAGGAATATCTTGATCATTAGCCACCTGTTGGATGATATGCTGTTGAAGTACCTCATCAGTTGCCCTTGTGCCCCTTCCACATTTGCCAGCGTGTCTTCCATGTTTTCGTCGATCCTGTCAACAGCCACAAACTTCCCAAGTTAATTACAATTTTTTTTTTTTTTTGGTTTTTGTTAAACATATTCCCAGTATGCAAACAGGCGTTTATTTTGTATATTAATAGGAGATTGGAGTAACTTATTCATAAACCATCACTTACAATCTATTTACACCCGCAAATAGGGGACCAAGAGTGGCAAGGTGGGGACAACAACCACAAGCTATGGAATAAGTCAAACAACTCATTAACCTCC